AAATATTGTTTTTCAGTGCTGTAAGCCATCTTGGGTCCTTTTCAAGGAGAAAAGGGGGGTAAAAATATTTTAAATAAATAAATACATTAAGTCGTTTCCTTCCCACCAGTTTAATTATGGAATAGGATTTTGGGCATTGGGCACTGACTTCTGTTGTTGTCTTTATTGTCAAAAATGCCAGGATTCATCTCTGAGAAATAAAGCCAAATTTTAAAAATGTTATGCCCCTTCAGGACACAGAATTTCTGCTCTTTGAGTAATTGGTTAATCTCAGGAGCAACAGAGTTTTATTTTAAAAGCAGCACCTTTCATGTTGCTGGTAGTGTTTTTAATTTGAAAACTAAAACATTTATACTCCAAAACATATTTATAGGGATTATTGATAGGTGATGGGATGGGTCTGAGTGGACTGTTATACCATTCCTGTATTATCACCAGATTACTATTGGCAATTTACACATGTGTAAGTGAAATTGCTTAAGTCGTGGTGACAAACTGCTATGAATTAACTAGGTGTTGGTTGTGTTTCTGGTTTGCCACTGTGACTTCACTGACTTCACATAACGCCCAAGTTGAAGGCTCCAGATTTTTGGAAAGCTAAGTATGATGTACCTATTTTAGTTATTTTTGAGAAACAGGAAGGTGACATTTGGAATGGAGGAGGCTTGAAACAATACTTGTAATTAATTATTTTTCCCCGTAGCTATCTATGCTCTCTCCGTGTCATAGACAGGCCCTGCTTAGTGGTGGAGATGCAGTGTCAAAACAAAGCTGTAAATATCTCAGCTTTATATGGCATTGGTTGGGGGGAATTGCAAGCCAGTGGGTCTGTAGTCACAGGTGCTGATTTGCAGGTACTAAAATCAGCCTGTTGACGCTGCCGAAGTTTTTAAGTGGGAAAATTTACAAGTGTCTGTATTGCATTTCATATGCCTCTTTGGTGGTATTGCAGATGTTCACCTTAATGTTGCACTGCAGCGTTGCTCATATGCTGCTGTGATCTTATTAAAATAGGGACTAGCTGTGCTTTTAGGCTAGAAGCTTGGATGCATGTTTTTTGGTACCAGTAATGGAAAAGTCAGTTCCCTGATAAATAAGCCTTCAAGTTTATTCAAATTCTACCTTCCAGCCAAGGCCTACAAAGTTACAGTGAGTCACCTACAAGATGAGTCATATTGCAGTACTCCAAAAGGGCCATGAAATTAATTTTTATAAAAATATCGCTAGATGTACATTTCCTTTCTTTGAAAATAAGCTTTAGAATGAGTTGGACATACTTTGAACAATTTGTAAGATTCCACTTATGTGACCCATAAAAACCCTATGTCACAGCACTGTTTCTCTGAGATTGACCAAAGAAGCTTTTAAAGAAAACCATGGGTATAATCATTCTTGGCAAGCAACTCCTGCCAACCAGACCCAATGTGCAGCATTTTACATGTTGCTTTTTTGATACATGATTGACTTTTAGAGTTCCTACTCCAGTCCTCTGAAGATGCCGGCCACAGAGACTGGCAAAATGTCAGGAAGAACAACCTTCAGAACACGGCCAAAGAGCCCGAAAAACCCACAACAACCATTAGATCCCGGCCGTGAAAGCCTTCACAAATACATTGACTTTTAGAGTGTCACATTTTCTTATATAAATTAATTTTTATAGTCACATTTTGTTTATTTCAGTTATTTAAGGACTGAATGGTGAATAACTGCATTCCTTCTGGATTTTTTTTTTTGATAAATATTGCATGCTACAGTAAAACACACAAAATCCAGAAGGAATGCAGTTATTCACTATTCAGTCCTTAAATAGCTGGAACAAACAAAATAGTAATTGTTTTAAAATATGTATACACTAAAAAGCTGGCTTTTTAAAAATCCAGCATAACGGAACAAAACAGTTTTTGAGCTTTGCGTCTCAGATGTGAAACCTAAACCAATGTGTTACACCAAGCAATTTCTTAGATTATCTAATTTTTCTTTCTCTGCCCATTGTTTCAGTGATTGCAGACTGTGATAGCTGTCTCTTTGAAGTTCAGCTACAGGAGCTGCCTTTCTTTATCAGTAGGGCTAGACAATGCACAATAATGTGGATTTCATCCTGCATTTTCACAATATTTTCACTTCAGATTATCTTCCATTACCAGATGACTGGTCAGGCAATGACTTGACTCTGTTTTTGTAAAGTATAGAAACCGGGTAGGTAGGAAGGAGTACAAGGTTCTTATGAAAGCAGAAGTGGTCTTGGGCTGGGAGGCAGTAAAGAGAATGAAGTCAAGTTTTCTCATGTACACGATATATTTATACAGACAAATGAGAACTATTTAAACACTTGTTCTCCAGCAATATTAGAAGCAGCACTTCAGATCTTGGGTTATGTGTATTTTAATTTAATTTCCTTGCAGCCTCGTTGAATCGAGGGCACGTAAGAAAGGGCATCTGGACTAATGAAAGATATTTGGAAGACTCCTGGTTTGTAATTTTAGAATTCCTGCAGATAGCTGCGCTCAGAAAGTATACATAATGTGGAAACTATTTGGGAATTGCACCGCATGGCCAAGGGACTTGTTCATACTTCCTGATGCCCCCAAAGGGAATGACTTGGAAGTATAGTGAGGCTGTTGGCTGGTTTGCTGCCAGTCTGTGCTCATGGGGAAGTACTGTTTCTGTGTCCTGGCACCTCCGCATAGCAGCTGCATACATGGCTGGCCCTGTTTTGGGGTTCTTTACCAATTAGAAGAGTGGAGGTCCAGCCTCTTTGAATTCTACATCCAGGTGACATGCATCACTTGTCAAGGAGAATTTTGACAGTTGTAAGACAGCCAACATCTTTCAAATATGAAAGTTCATGCAGTGCTTCCTCTCTCCACCCCCACCACCCCGCCATCCTTCTCTTATTTTATGGGTTTGGGGAGAGGTGGAGCCGTTCCTATTTTAGTGATAAACACACACTTTTACATCTCTTTCAAAGCAGCCTGCTAAAAAAAGTGAGATGGCATTTTGGAGCCAGACCACAGTGGTTTGGACCAGAACGCTTACAGAATTATTAAGCTTTAGAAGGAAGAAGAAGAAGAAAAAAGCAAAGGAGATTTATACATCTCTGTCTGACCACGTTGGTTTGGAACCAATGCAGAATGGAAAAGTAATAAAATAAGGAGAGACACTGTTTGCTGAATAGAGTCTCACTTTATTTTTTGTCCCTCCCCCCCCACACACACTTTTTTGTTTTAAAATCTATCCATGGATAATTTTCTTAGCTTCATGAAAAATTCTTATCCGAAGCCCTGAAACCGCCAGCCATTCCCCTCTTCATTTCAGTGGGTGTTTTAGAGATGCTTCTCGCCTACTGATAATTCAACATTTGTTGCTTTCTGTTGTTTAGCTTCCAAGCATAAATCGTCCAACCGAGAATATTAAAACACTGTAAAATGTGCATATCGTTGAAGAAAAATATGGAAGTTACTGAGTTGAATTTCAGGATTTTATTCCTTGTTCACAACTTTGTACTTGCGGGCCTGTTTTGAGTTTAGCAAGACTTTTCATATAATCTATGCTTGAAACCAAGGGCGGGGGAGTGAAGAAAGTACAGAGATTTCCAGGACTCTGTGCAGAAGGGCAAATGCCAGAAACCACAGAGGAGCTGACTTTTACCTCCAGAAAGCAAATTCAGATACTCTGTGCCAGCTTGGGACATTTTATTGAATGCTTCTGTTTGCCTTCCAACTTTAAATGAAAATAAGGCCAAGCTGTCCATCTTCCCAAAGCTTTGCATGAATCCTGCACACCTGGTGCAAGGAGGTGCTGGTTTGTTGCTCTCTGTGCGTCACACAGAGAGCATCCTTTGATTGAAGGGAAAATTCATAGGCTTCAGCTGATCCGTATGCTGTCAGTTAGGGAGGGGGCAGGAAGTGAGAAAAGTGTACAGTTCTTCTGAAGCTGCAGTTTAAAGAAAATGTTTGCGTTCACACTAGTACGCACCTAGTAATATATCACTGTGGATATGGGGTTTAAATGATCTTCCATAGATTCTTACTATCTGTATGCTGCATGTATTTGAACTATAGAAACATTCAAAGATATAATCTTCCCCGTCCCCATACTACATTTTAAAATGTTACAGTCTTTTAAGAAGAACTTGGTCACCCTTTCACCGACAATGTAAATTAGGCATCAGATGTTTTGATATTGTTGCTCTTGATGGCAGCTCACCTCTGCTTTCCCTTAAGAATTTCTGTCAAACATCAGATCCTTTTATCTGCACTGGTTTTAAGGGGCTACCACTCAAGATTCTTAGGGGAGTATAGTTTAATCACTACTCATGTTCTAATCTGAATTGAATGTACAATTTAAGAAGATCTATTTTATTTTAAAATGTGTTGAGTCAGATCTTTATTTGGAACAAACCCATAGGAATAAATGGGACATGATTTATGACTTACTCAAGATGTTACTGGATCTACTGAAATACAGTGGTGCCTTGCTTAGCGATGTTAATCCGTTCTGGAAAAAACGTTGCTAAGCGATTTCATCGCTAAGCGATTTTAAAAAGCCCATAGAAATGCATTAAAATGTGTTTAATGCGTTCCTTTGGGCTTAAAAACTCACCTTATGCGAAAATCCTCCATAGCACCATTTTCGCTGCCTCTTAAGCGAGGCAAAACAGCAGTTGGCCATTTTGTTTACCCGGCGGCCGTTTTGAAACTGCCAATCAGCTGGCTGAAAATGGGGGCTTTGCGATGATCACTTCCCTGCGATCATTGCAAAGCGAATTTTCCCCATAGGGACCATCTCAAGGCAATCGCTTTTGTGATGGCAAAAAGAACATCGCTAAGCGATTTCATCGCTCAACGGAGCAATCGCTAAGCAAGACACCACTGTATGACCAAGTCTGGACCCATCCCTATTGCCTACCAAACTGCTGAGGTGAATGAGATACGAGCATAATAAGTACAAAGGATATGCAAGCGGGCTGATTTTTCTCTCCCCAATCTTTCTGTCTTAAGGAATGCCAGCAGCTTCTTTGGTGACTCCTGCAGATGTGATTAAGACTCGGTTACAAGTGGCAGCCCGTGCAGGGCAAACAACCTACAGTGGTGTTATTGACTGTTTTGGAAAGATCTTGCGAGAGGAAGGTCCAAGAGCTTTTTGGAAAGGAGCTGGAGGTAAAGTCTGGGAAGAGTTAGTTTAATAAGGGAGGGAGGGAGGGTGTGTGTGTGTGTTTGTAAGGCTGTGTGTTCATGTGGCTAATGGTGGTTTTCCATTTGCTCTTCAAAGCACGTGTCTTTCGCTCCTCTCCTCAATTTGGGGTAACCCTGGTGACTTATGAGCTACTGCAGAGATGGTTTTACATCGATTTTGGAGGAGTGTAAGTATGATTGATTAACCACTTTGATGCTATTCTAGTTGTGGGAGGTCTGTGCAGTCAGTGCAGCGAGGAAGAGAAAAAGCAAGACAAATAGAGGGAGAAACTCTATAATGTTCAATAGCAGGATTGCATAATAACCAAGAATGGGTGATCCACTCTTGGAGGGAAGTAGCATTTGCTGACAGCTAAAGCCAAAGCAGAGGATCGTGGCTTCTCCTGAGATTTAGGAGGAAAACCTGCTATCCCAGTTCAATTACTGAAAGGCCTGGCTCTTATTTTAAATATTTCAGAAGACCAGCAGGATCTGAACCAGTTCTGAAATCGAGGATCACCCTACCTGCTCCGAATCCTGACCATGTTGGAGGTTACAAGCTGGCTGTAGCCACGTTTGCAGGGATCGAAAATAAATTTGGACTTTACTTACCTCGGTTTCAGTCCTCGCCACCTACCTCTCAGGCAGCATCTGTTTGACCCTAAAACGGTGACCACTCTTGAGAATTGGGGAAAGAGCCATGCATCTGATCAGCCTCAGTATTTAATTCTGTTTGCTTTTCTGTCTCAAATCTCAGCCACTCAAGATCTGACCTTTCTTCTCCCGCTCCCCAAGTGGAATTCATTGGTCTTTCTGCTTCCTGTATCAGATCACTGTGTATCTCATGCTGAAATAGTCTGGTTGGTTTGGAGCCATTTGTGTGTTTTTTATACTTCCACATAACTGGGATTATGAATGTACTTCCCCTGGTTTGGGAATAATACTCCTACACAATTATGCTTTCTTTCCTCCTTGGGAGTCTGGTGGTGGCCAAACTAAAAAAAAACACTATAGAATTTGACGGTCTTTTATTCAGATAAGGGCTGTATTGTCAGCATGACTACAACCAGGGCTTGGGGAAAGTTAGTTTTTAGATTACAGTTCTCAGAGTCCTGCAGCCAATATGGCCACTGGGAGGTTCTGAGATTTATAGTACAGAAAAGTAACTTTTCCCAAACTCAGGACTATATATTGATTTTTACACATGCTCACACAAACAGAAATCATAGTGCTCACTGCTGAATGATTTAGGTCATGTGTGTCTGTGGAGTACCTGGCTATGCATGTGGGACATTTTACATATACACACACACAAGTTGCATTCCTGAATTGTATTAGCAGGCATTATGGGGACATTTCTTTTTTGTAAATCACCTCAACAAACATTTAGCAGTTCTATTCTTGCTTCCCAGTATCAGAATGCTGGTAGTGTGTTTGGAGAGAGGGGAACGGAATGAAAAATGTAATTTACCATAGTCTGTGCACTTTATGGAAGAATGTCCAAAGCATCTTATTATTCTGTGGAATGTCAATATCAAGAGTGTAAGCTATCAAAAGAGGTGGCTGTACATTCTTAATCTTTTCCTGTGATGTTTGCTTGGGGGCTCTTGCTTCTCCTCATTGACCTAAGTGGCGGTTGTGCCCATGCGTTCCAAATCTGCTCCTGTTGATACTTGGGTTTTTGTTTTGTGTGATGTACTTATAGAGTAAGCGCTGCTTGTTTAAATAAATGCAATACGGAAAAAAAATCCATGCATTGTATCAATGGTATCTGCCTTAACTGCCAGCTTGTAATTGGGCAATATTGTGTGAAAATTCTTAATTTTGTTGAATTAAAAAATAAGATTTTTTTTGGTACAAAAACTCCAACCAGAATAAAATGTTTTGACTCTTTTTTTCTTCCTTTGGAATGATCCATGCACATATGCGCGCGCACATGCGTACTGGAGTAGCAGAGCAGCCCACACTGAAGAAGGGAAGAAAGATTAGGATTCGGTAAATCAGATTATGTTGAGAAAGAACAAGGATAAGGTTGTGTGATGCACAAGATCACACAAATGTAAAAGGCCAGTCTCCTCAGCATAATCAACATCCATGTTGGTCTCACGTTTTTAATTCTATGATATAGGTTCTTACATCCTTTACTTCAATGGAATATACCTTTTATATCAAAGAGGCTGTCACACCACTGTTAAATATCTATTGACTTTCTTACCAACCAACCACAATCTTTGTATTTTGATGCTATGTATAAATATTTGCCATGTTATATTTCCCTTATGACTGAGGAAGTGGACTTGTCCATGTAAGCTCAAATTAAAATATAGCAGTTAGTCTTTAAGGTGCCACCATGTTTTTGTATTTTTTTTCCTGTTCTTTCATTTTTATAAATATATAATGTTTGTACAGACTAACATGGCTACCTGTTCTATAACTACAAATGTAAGGGTACGTGATACCTTTTATTAGATTACTATAAAATCATACAAACTGCAGTCTTTCATGGAGAAAACCCCACTTCCATAGGCTCAACACAACCCCTTCATGGATAGTGCAAAATCAAATTGTAGACAGAGGTCTCTAGTTATGTTGTAGTCCCCTTTTAGCCGAAGTGTCATTAATCAAGAACAGAACAGAATGCCAAGACTGTGTGTGTGGATATATAACTCGGTTTTAGACAAAGTTGGAATTTCTTCCACCCTTTAAATTTGTGAAAATGAGGTGTTTGTGTGTGTGTGTGTGTGCGTGCGTGCGTGCGTGTGTGTGTGTGTGTGTGTGTGTGTGTTTAAAGCAAAATGCTTACATGGCACAAAAATGTCAGCCATTTGTCCCCAACATAACCTTGATGTTCATAACTTAAACCCAGTTAAATACTGTATGAAATAAATAACCGAAGCCCACAATGATTCAAAAGGGTTTCTATATGTTTACAGATAATGTTACTACATTTTTAAAATTAGTGGTAAATTGGTAAGCCAGTTGAACAAAGGATAGTCATACATGGATAACCTGTGGCAGGTGAGACCAGAGGGAGACAGCGTGTCACACTTGTAGGGCATAGGGATTGGAAGGCAACAGGGTCTTGGTGATTGTGCCCCACTTGGACTGTTGCTGTGTTCTGCTAATGGTACATGTACCACTGCTTTCAAACATATTTGACTCTTTCTCCTAATGTATTTCCAGTGAAGCCCTCCTCAAGGTAGCACTGAAGACCTTCAGAAATGTACCCTTTTAGACTGCATTTCCATGCCCCTTGGAATGCTATTTGAGGGCCACCCATTGCAACAGATGCTCATGGTGTGTGTGTGCAAAGACCAAAATGGGAGGTTTTGCTATAGACAAGGGACAAGGTCGTGTGTTTTTCTGGCATTTTAAAAAATCAGATGTAAATGTCCACCACTTGTATTTCAGAAAGAAAGAAATCAATCAGTCTTAGGGAAGCAGTCCTCGGGAAGCAGAATTGACCCCTAGTATTCTGGAGTTTGACACACATATCTTGCGCTAGGATCGCATTGTTGACAAATTATGGCCTCAAACACTGTAATTTCAGTGCATCATTTTTTATTAATATAGAACGGATTAATTGAAGTTCTACGACTTGCTTGAAAACATGAATCCAAATCAGTTTGAAACGCAACCCTAAGCTAATCTTTCGCCGTCTCAAACTAGAGCTGCACTAGCTATGCTGGTTTTTACCTGCTGTTGCGATTACATGCTGTCTTGTTGTCTCTGACCATGGTGACCAAAATGTCCTGTTCTCAACAGCCCTGCACAAGCCTGTGGCTTTACTCCATCTTCTATTTGGTCTTCCTCGTTTCCTGATACCTTTTCACCTTCCCCAGCATTACTCTCTTTTCCAGAGAATTCTGCCTTCTCAAGATGTGCCCAAAGTGGGACAGTCTCGGTTTCCTCATTTTTTTCTCTCCAGAGGTAGTTCTGGCTTAATCTGCTCTTGGACCGACTTGTTTGTCTTTCTGGCAATCCAGAATTATTTGCAAAGCTCTTCTCCAGCACCACATTTCAAACAAATCAATTTATTTCATGTCAGCATTCTTCAGTGGACAGCTTTCACACCCATGCATGATTGGAAATACTGTACAAGAGTGTGGATCATCTTGATATTGGTCTCAAGTGACATATCTTTAAATTGATGACATTTCCCAAACTTCCAAGTTTCAATCTTCTGTTTTCTTTTGATTGATGAGGGAACCAAGGTATATAAAAATCTCTCTCTATTTCAGTTTCTTCACGGTCAACATTAAAGTCAAATACTGCAGTTCTTCTGTAGTCTTGGTTGTGGTCTGCTTTTGCACTTCCACTAAAGGTTATTTAAATCTTTGCTGATTTCTACCAGTAAGACCTGGAAATTGGTAATTCTGGCCCACGAGTTAGCTTTAGGGATGTTTGTCTGTGGGAGGGATGCCTGGAGAAGAAAGAGGAGCATTACCATCCTTTTAGTCTCTATGGGAGAGACTTCTTTGCCTTGTGTTTGTCTGCCTTCCTATTACCTTGTCAAAGAACGCAGTTCTGCTCGTGAGAGCAGCAGAGTGCAACATGTAGCTCACTTGGCGTCCACAAAGTCGAGATAAATGAGATAGTGGCTTTGGGAGGGAGCCTCCATTTTGCAGAGGAACCTTAGTTTGGATTCTTAAGTAGCTTTTCACCTAACTGTTATGAGCAACTGATTTGTGCTGGACGCCGCTGCTGTTTTGAAAGGGAAGGCAAAATAAAAGGGGGGGGGAGGGTTTATCTCCCAAACAGAACTTGTTTTATACAGACAAAATTCCATACTGGAATGTAGGGGACTGGCCGTAGCTGATGACAGAGTCTGCTGCTTATATACGACCCCACAGTGCTTAAAGCTCTCTCTGGGCAGTTTGCAGTTCAATCATGCAGGGGACACATTGCCCCTCCCCACCAGTGCTCTGGGTATTCAATTTACCAGTCTCCGAAGGGTGGAAGGTTGATAAGGTCCTACAGTGCCATTGCTACGTGCCACTGCTGCAAAACTGTGGGCTTTTTCTGAGTGTGCCACAGTTCTCATTCCAAGTACCTTAAACACACATGTTCCTCCCTGGCTGCCTTGGATAGATGAACACACAGCCCTATACTAAGTTCCTATGCCTTCTGGCTCTTCAGTTCTGATTAAACCTGCACTGGGGGAAATAAGCAATGTAAAAATCACTTCTTGAGAAATGTAAGCCTTGTTTTGTTAGTTGAGACGTTTTTAACTGCACTGCGTATGCTAAAGAACATGTTTTAAATCTCACTATTATAAATAATAAATTACTGGCTGGTTTGGAAACAAGCAAACCTCAAGGTACTTTCATTATGGAATTCTCAGGGGAAGTTGAACACAGCAAATAACCCAGACAGCTCTTGAACTAATCGTGTTTTTAACTATGTGCAATGTGCACTTTAGACAGGATTTCTACTACTACAACTGCATGAGCGGGTTAGATCCTTGCTTAGCTGTACTCAGAGTAGCCCTGCTGTAATCAAGGGGTTTAAGTTAATCACAACTGAGTACCCTCCCACCAGTTTCAGTGGGAGTGAAAACTTAAGTCTGGACCAAACCCAAGTACTGTATTTTTAAAATTGCAGCTGCTACAGCTACTACTCCATGTTTCTGTAAGGTCCACAGACAAGATAAATGGAAAATAAAACTATTCAATTGCTTTCATCATCTTTCCTCCATATCCCACTTTCCTTTTGTTTCATTTTTCCCCCAGTTGTAAGCCTATGGGTAGAGGCTGTCCTTTAGTTTTTTAAAAAATTGTATATAAGCCTCTCTGGACCCAACTTCTTGAGAAGGAAAAAAAATGCTTAAATCACTCAAAATATAAAACTGATGGTGCCAGTTGGCTTTAATCATACATAGAGCATCCTAATTGAAATTAATGAAGCTTAGTTGTAGATAATTTACATTTCTGCACGCTACATAGGACAAACAGGATAATCTCTGTGCAAAAGAATTAATGGACATAAATCAGACATCAGGAATTGCAATACACAGAAACCTGTTTCAGAACATTTCAGTCTATCCAGATGCTCTTTACAGCAGCGGTCCCCAACCTTTTTGGGACCGCAGACCGGCTGAACCTCTGAGGAAGGTGGGCCCCCCTGCAGGTGTGCGTGGGCTCTCGGGGTCCCCAACCTTTTTGGGACCGCGGACCGGCTGAACCTCTGAGGAAGGTGGGCCCCCCGCAGGTGTGTGTGGGCTCTCGGGCGCCTGCGCGAAGCAGTGGGGGAACACACACACCTACCAGCACTGGTGTGAGTGCTCCCCACCCCTTTGTGCATGTGCAGGGGCACCTGCATGTCAGTGCGGGCGCTGGGGCACTTGGGCACATGCATGAAGCAGTGGAGGAGTGCCTGCCCACCTGCGCTGGCATAAGCACTCCCCCACCTTCGCGCAGGCACAGGGGCCCCTCCACACACACACACCCCTTGTGGGCGCAGGCACTCAGACATATGTGTGAAGGGGTGGGGGAGCGCTCACGCTGGCACGTGCGCAAAGCAGCTGTGGGGGGAGGAGTGCATGCAGGGGGGAGGTCTGTCTGTGGCCCGGTCCAGCTCAGGCCATGGACTGGCACCGGGCCGCAGACCGGGGGTTGACGACATCTGCTTTACAGAATGTGAAAGTTGCAAAGTCCTGGGAAATAAATATTATAGAACAATACTTCAAAGAGAAACTGCTGAGATAAAAAAAATATACAGATGATGGAAAAACGGCATCTGCATATAAAGGGCTAGATATCAGTCAAGGGTTCTTAAGTCATTATAAAGCGTGAAATGCTACAATGATCATGTTGTTATCTGGTGTTGTTATCTGTAGTCTGATGTTTCTTTACTGACAAAGAATTGTCACTTTTTATGGAACAATTGTCACTTTTTATGGAAATCAACCCTAAGTGCTCACTGGAAGGACAGATCCTGAAGCTGAGGCTCCAATACTTTGGCCATCTCATGAGAAGAGAAGACTCCCTGGAAAAGACCCTGATGTTGGGAAAGTGTGAAGGCAAGAGGAGAAGGGGACGACAGAGGATGAGATGGCTGGACAGTCTGAGAAGCAACCAACATGAATTTGACACAACTACAGGAGGCAGTGGAAGATAGGAGGGCCTGGCATACTCTGGTCCATGGGGTCACGGAGAGTTGGACACGACTTAAGGACTAAACAACAACATGTAACAAGGGGAATAAACCTTTTTAAAAGAAGTGAATATCAACCAGGGCTCTTAAGTTATTATCAAGTTTGAAATGTCACACTGACTCACACAATTTGCAATGTGTGTCTATTATACAAACCAGCCATTGTCACTTTGTCCTCTGTATCCGCACCAGATCATGGGGCCAAGTATAAGTGACTGCCATATAATCTGTTATGTCTGAGGAAGTAAACTTGTTCCATGAAAGTTCACATTAAAATATAGGAATTAGTCTTTAAGGTGCCACAACATATTTGTCTCCCTCTTTTTATCTTTTCTTTTGTTTCTTGTTCAGTATCTTCACACCCCATTGATTCCAATGGGTCTAGCCCAAGATTGACTTGATTTGGATCCAACCAAAGTGAATGTTTTTTTTAAAAGAATGACTATATGACTCCGTGTGCTATTTTAATTATTGTTTCTGTAAAACCTCAAGTCTGCATACCTCCTTCGGATCAAAATGAGCAGATCAGGCTGCGAGATCTTGATTCAGGATTGTGCTTTTCAGAGCTTAGCCTCACAAAACTTGGAAAGTTATTTTTTCTGGGCTACAGCTACCAAAACTCCTACTGGCTGGAGGTCTCACTCGGCTTCCTCTGTTTATCTATAACCATTAATATGCTGTGTGAGGAAAGTTTTAATTTCTGACTGGATGAATGCACTGAGAAGATTCAGCTTCTCAGCAGCGAGAACCTGCAATGGTGTTTGTGTTGCAATGGTAGGCAGAAAGGTAACCAACCAGCTTATGCTGTCTCACTGGATTAATGTCACAAAGTATTCTCAGCATGGGCAGCTGGACCTACTCAAAGTTTCAAATGTAAGTTCTTCCATAGCACGTGTGAGTAGCGGTAGACTGCCAGGTGTTTTTAGCCTACAACTTCCATTAGCCCTAGCCAGTGTAATCATGCTGTGAACTCCAGTCCAAGAACAGATGGATGGACTCAGTTGCCCAACCCTGATCCACAGGGAGAGTCTTAAGAGTAGACTGTGGAAACCTCATGTAAAAAGTCAAGTTTGTTTCTTACAAATGGGAAAAAAAATGCAAATTACGTTGCCAGTTAGAGTTTTTAAAACTATTTCATCTAACAGATACAGTATATTTCTACAGAAATACTCCACGTTCTCTCATTTGCCGGTATCTAAAGTAAATTTTAATATGAAAAAATAACCCGCACCATGCCTTTATGTATTTTACTAGTGATATTCTGGAACTGCACCTCTAATTCAGCCTGTTGCTGGTAGCCTATAACAAGTGTCAGTAACCAACCGTTCATGAAATATTGTTAAAGTATCTAGAAATAATAGGCATTTTTAAAAAGTTCAATTTATTCAACCAACCTTTTACAGATTTCATTTGAGTACAAAGTGACATCCTGTAATTGTTATGTGGAGCTCGACATAACCCCCAAAGGCATGCGGAGACAATGCAGTTTGCTCGTTATGCACATGCTTTAGGATCGTTTATTTTAATGCTTTCAAATAAATATGTTCCATGCAGCAGCACACAGCAATAAATAAGGAGCAGCAATGTTCATATAGTACATCCATTCATAATGTAAGTCACCATGTGAAACACCACATCTAAAGTCCCTGACCCAGTCCCATGTTGCCAAGCACACCACATCTGTACCCAATCACATCTGACTTCATCTGGATTTAATACGACTGTGCTAGAAATGCTTGTGAGCCCAAGTTTATCCAGGGGTTTCTAGCTAGTTACTGCAGCTACTAAAGTAGTTAAAAAGCAACCACTGAACTCACTTGGGTTTGATTTGTCCTCTCGTTCATCCCTCCTCAAAAAGAAATATGAAGCATGGAAATGCTCTGTATATTTTCCAGCGACTTTAAGCACAGTATGATTAACAAGAAGGAATTGAGCCTCTCAAATAAGCTGACATGAACAATGGCGTGAAAAGCCACAACAATACCGATTGGACATGGAACATGGGTGCAACTGACAGAGGTTAGAGGAGAGCACCTTCCTCTTTTAGGCAGAGATTTCCACCGTTCCTTCTTCTTCACTATCAGCTCTGTTGGCCCGGATTTCCACCAGAGTCCTAGCAAAGCGAGTCCACTCATCGCTGTGTGGGAGAGCGAGCTGCAAGAAGAATTAAAGGGGACATGAGGATATGAAAGGCTGGTTATTGATGACCAGAGCACTTCAGAAATCAGGGCTCATTGTTGTCATGTGACCTGCACCCATCAAGTTAGCTCTATAACAAATACCATGCAAGTTCTGATCCATCACCACCAAAAATAGTGACCTTGGGAAATGTGCTGTATAATCAAATAGTGTTTGATCAATCTAATACACATGCTTTGCAAGGGTAAACAAACACCTCATATAGGATTTAGGAGCTGTAGGAGCTTCACAGGTTAGATCCTTACAGATTAGATAAATTCCTATAAAATTGTTGTGCCAAGAGTTTGTTCGGTTTTGTTGGGCTTTGTTTGCCGCACTTATAAAGTTCAGCTACAGAACAGGATATAATAAAAATGCTAAGCATCTCTGGGATAGAGCAAGTAAATATTATGCAACAGATCAGTTTTTTTTCTTCTTGGCTGAAAGCTGAAAATCATTCTCTTTTTATTTCATTTTAATGAAGACAGGACAAAAAGTACAGTTCAAGCAGAATATGCTTTTCAAGAATGCTTGGGCATTTTAGTAATGCAGCAGGACAGTGTCACAACCCCTTCTTGATGAATCTGGTGTTGCAATGTTTCATAGGTAATGCAAAATGAGATCAAAACAATCATCAAACTCCTTTTTCTATGTATATTTTCATCTAGTCAGCCCTGAGAATCCAGCAACATGAATTTAAATTAACTATGTGCATTTTTCAGTCTGTAATCTCTCTCTGAATGCTTGTAGGAGAAAGGAAATGTAAGATATTATGTAGGAACCGTTTCCAAACAAGAAGCAGCCCAATCTTCACTGCATCCGTGTGTGTGTTCTGTAGCTGCTAATGAGCCATAAAACCATGTTAACCTTTGAAGCATCTTCTAGAAAAGTAAATCCTATAGGTTACAAGGTAAGTCTTGCATGAATTCTTAACCAGCCCAGCTCAGTGGCTGAGCATAAGCTTTGCATATCAACAGTCCCAAATTCAATCTATAACACCTTTATAGGCGGGCGTAGAAAAACTCCTCCAGGGAGCAACTGTTGACAATAACGGTCTTGGTGGACCAATCCTCTAATCCAGTACTTTAACAATATCTCATATTCTCAGTCTTAAAACACAACAATACAATCTGATGCCTTTTGTGTGCTCCACTGTACACACTTAACTCCTTGCAGGAGCATGCACACCTGTTGGTGGGAGGGTTGGCGGAAGGAGGCAAGGGCGCCTTCTTGTTGCCATTAATCCATACGAGGGAATTTAAAAATCAGCAGACACTGTGGATTGCAAATCACCAATACGCTGCAGGGACGATAACGAAATATATTTATTAAAACTACTTAGGTTGTAATTAGACATGGGGATGAATATCAAAACATATCATGATATTCAACGAATATCCCTGATTCATCAGATATTCGTTGCTTCATATTCTTGGGGTCCAGAGACCCCGACAAATACAAAGCAACAAATATAACCCTTTTATATTCATCCCTTTGTTTCTTATCTGCTTATACCCCCACAGATCAGCCGTTCCTCAGGGACATAAGCAGAGAGGGATTTTCCCTTTGGGCAGCTTGCTAAAGCCTGCAGGAAGGGAATCCCACCCCCGGGGCTGGAAGATGGTTTGGTTCCCCTTTCCTCCTCTTCCTATGCCCACATAGCATATGAAAAGGAGGGAAGGGATCAAAGTGGGATGAAAGCCATCTCCCAGCGCGGGGCTTGGGCATGGCTTGGCTTGGGCTTTCCTCCTATGCCTATGGGGACATAGGAAGAGGAGGAAAGGGATGAAAGCTCTCTGTGGTTCATCAGGCCACTGGGGGGGGGGAATTTGTGGTTCATGGGTCATCAAGCTTGACAACCCACGAACCAAGACAAAGTGCCAATTTGGTGCTTCGTCCCCATCTCTAGCTGTAATCTTATGTCTACTTCAGAAAAGGAAATCGCATTGAATTCAAAGGGCCTTATTTCTGAATACAGCTGCAGAGAATTGTGCTGCCAGTGTAATGTACCAGAAGTCTCATGGCCACTATGAACTTATCCAGTCACAAACCCAGCTGAAACACTCCCTCCCCCTTGCCCCCCACCTGGAAAAGGGAAATAAGAGGCCAAAGAACCATCTTAAATAAGTTCTTTCAAGCTTGCAATCCATTCCAGTTGATGAAATGCGGACTGCCCTGCAGGCTTTGACTAAATAAATAAATAAACAGACAGACAAACAGAAAAAAGAGTATACCCTAAATAAATAAATAAATAGACAGACAAACAGAAAAAAGAGTATATCCTGCCCATCCTCAAAATCAACTCACTTTCACCTAATCACTGTTTCAGCTTCCTGCCCATCCTCAAAATCAACTCACTTTCATCTAATCACTGTTTCAGCAAGATCCCTTTTTCTAGAAGCAGGACCCATATGAGGAAATGTGACAGACTGACAGAAGCTTTACAGGGGTTTTAGACAGAGATATTTTTTACCAGTTCTATCTTGAGAAGCCATAGAGTGAAGCAAAGAACATGTGTGTTTGAAGCAGGTATCTGACTTCAGAGGTAGGAAAAGTACTTTTTATCCACAGGCCTGATCTACAGATGGCTCTTGCCACATCCACATCAAATGCCACTCAGCCTCAACTTGCTTCAGGAACATTCAGGGATACATTTAAAAATAAATTGGCACGTGGTTGTGAACTTCTCCAACTACCAGAACACTTAAAGCAATATTAAGACACCTAAGTACAGTATGCTGGAATAGAAAACTGCCTACACAGCCCCTTGTCCACAGGTTGCAACTTGACAAGAAACAATGCAAACCAGGGATGGGTGTAAAAAGATGCTAGGCAAATTTTACAGATGAAAAATAGGGTAGATGCATTGGAGTGAATCAAAACACATGACAAAATGCCCCCCTCTTTGTTCTTACACCATGAACCATTTTATATGTCGCCCACATTCTGTAATATTAAATCGATGCAGCAATGGCTCGCCCTGCACAAATTTAAATGCAAAAAGGAGGCATGTATGTTATCAACAGCTCAAAATATACAGTGGCTGTATGAGAACTGAGAAGCTGACCTTTCCCTCTGTACCAACCAACTTTGGAATGAATCCAGCAGTATTCAATGGGACACTGCGTATACGTGCATCAGTGTTCATGTGGGTGTGCATGCGCAGTAGAAATTAAGCATACACCCATCCCTACATGATAATCCTGCACAGCAAAGTGACATGAACCTCCCGAAAGAGCAATATTCTTTGGTAGTGGCTCACATGAATACCAATTTAACAATACAGTACAACCTCAGACAAAATCTGGGATTTTTTTTAATTGAAAAGTTTGGAAACACACGACCTGTGTTAAATAGGACCTGTAATAAACAGAGACTTTAACAGCATACAAATTATGGGTCATGTGTTATCAAGTCACAAGTGACTTAGAGCGAGCCTAATGGGGCTTTCAAGGTAAGAGAAATATTCAGGGAGTGGCTTTGGCAGTTCCACACCCCCAGTGGCTGAATGGAGATTCAAACCAACGTCTCCTGAATCCTGGTTTGTCACTATCCACCATACTCCTCTCAATATCCATTAAATAAGGACTATAACAGTGTATAAACTGGCACAATTAAAACAGTACTCAGTGTGTGTGTGTGTGATAAATAACCATATACATTTAAATCACCTTTCCCTCAACCTATTGCTTTGTGCGTGTGTTGACGTGTATGTTCCACACCATTGCTACCCTACAGCCAGGGGTTGGAAGGCTGAACTGGACAAATGTAGGACTGCTCGACCCAAGAAAAATAATCATTTCAATGATATAGACATATTAATTCTGTGTCTACATCAAAGCATTTGCCAAGTCTGCCCCTGTGCTAAGTCTCTAATGATGTGCAGGAAGCAGATTTGAGTATCTTCAAAAAAGGATGCAGATCAATAATAACAGCAATAATCAGGCACTGAATTCTGACTTATGGCAACCCTTTGCAGGGTTTTCCAGGTACAGAATACAGTGGTGCCTCGACTTATGACCATAATCAATTCCAGAAGATGGGCATAACTCGAAATGGTGATAAGTCGAGGCACCATTTCGCATTCAAATGCATTGGAATGTGATTAATCTGTTCCGGCAAAAAACAAACAAATAAAAAATAAACCACACAGCAAGCCCCATCAGAAGGCGCTGGGGCTTATAAAAAATAAAGCACACAGCAAGCCCCATCGGAAGGTACTAGGGCTGAAAAAATACACACACACACACACGCACACACACACACAAACAGCACAGAAACATAATGTACTTACTCAGAATCAGAAAGCAGCACCAAGCAGTCCAAAGCCTCTCTTCCAACACACACACTCTAACCGTTGGGGCGAAAGAGCTACAAAGAAGCTCTTTGCCGACCAATGGTTAGCCCTCTAATTTGAATTCCTCGCCTTTTTCCCCTGCCTCTTTTGATCGCAACTCGAAGCTCCAGCTGTGAAGCAAAATTTTGCAGCCAGAGCTGATCGCAACTCAAAACGGTCGTATGTCGGGACGGTCTTAAGTCGAGGCACCACTGTATTCGGAAGTGGTTTACCATTCCCTTCTTTTGGGGGGTGCCATGAGACTGTGCAGCTTGCCGGCTCTACTCATAGGAGGCACAGTAGGGAATCAAACTCCCAGCACCATATGCTTTTCTAAATTTTGGGCAACTGGCTTTATTGCTGTGACAAAAATGTTATCCACTGAATCTCTTTGGCATGGCTTCAGCCATGACAACAATTTCTCTTCCCCTCCAGTCAAGGGTGACTTCCAGTCCATGTTTGAGGCTTTCAATATTTCATGCAGCTGGCTGAAATGCTGTTTATGGTGGAAGTATTTTTCTGGGTTCCTTACGAAAGCAGCATTCAGCACAGTGGTTCACTTTAAGATCAGGTATTGCTGACAGAAGTCATGTAACTGCATTCATTTTACTGACACTTTCTGCACATCTGCCTCCTGCTT